AAGGCGAACTGAAATAAGGAAAAATACCTTTCTAAAGAAAACGAAAAGCGTACTGAACTGTTATGTAATATCAGACGTCATATATGACAGTGAATGCTAGACAATCTTATCGCAGATGAAGAAGAGACTTGAGGTAACAGAAATCGGGTTCTACAGAACGATGATGTGAATATCATTGACGGAGCATGCGAACAACGAAGTTTTAGAGAAAATGGAAACAAAAAGGACACTTATACTTAACATCAGAAATTTGAAATTTCTAAGGCACATATGAGGAAAGAGGGCTTGGAAAATTTAACATTAACAGCATATACTGAGAGCAAGATGGACAGAGGAAATAATGTCTAATCTATATAATAAGCTTGTGTAAGTTTTTGGCATAAGATTAAAAGAGATATCAAAAAGAAAACCTTTACTGAGAGCTAGAAAGGATAAGAAGTTATGGAGATGATCGCCAACGTCCTGATTATTTTGTACCGTTCTTTACAGAGCATGCCACATAGTACTTTGGTATTATCTACTATTTTCGTTTATTTTATGTAATAATCAATGTGTGCACAAATGAAGTGACAAGTTAAACTACGATCGAGTGAGTGTGGTGTCTGTGTTTTTAAATTATTTTTGTTACTGAAGATAAAGTCGAACAACAGATGCAAAAAGTGACTCAACCTTTCTACATGCATATTTAAATTTAAAATATATCGTTGAACAAAATCCAGGTGAAATTAACAAAACTTTTCAACGATATTGAAAACATCATCATTTAGATATTAGGTTGGTGCAAAAATAATGTCGTTTTTTGACGTTCATCTTAACGTAAAAAACGACATTATTTTTGCACCAACCTAATATTTTGATAATAATCAAGAGAGTCGAAAGAGCACGAACAAAAATGGAACAAATGCATGATCTTTAGCCAGTTTATCCATAATTTTGATCCGTATATATTTATTTGGGCCACCTCGAGGCTGTGTAATGGTTAGCAAACTTGTCTTGCTAGAACAATTACGACTGAGTAGGGAATTTGATCCTCACTAGGTGCCCTCTAGTTTCGGACTTGTGCCACATTTAATCTATGTTTGGAAAGTCACTATTTGGACACGTCGACGTGGTGTAATGTTTTGAAAGCTTGTCTTGCTAGATCAATTACGATTGAGTAGTGAGTTCGATCCTCACTGGGTGCCTCATACGTTCAGCTTTGTCCCACATCTAAGCCCCGCTTAGAAGATCACTATACAAACAACTTCGGAAATTGTTAATTTCGGAAATCGTTAATTTACAAATAAAAATTAAATTGTTAATTTACAATAAAAATTAAACAGATTTTAAATTTGATAAATCTTTGTTTAAATGAAATCTTACACACACGCGGGCGTTATTTTTTATTTATTTTATATATTTTTTTTTTTTTTTTTTTTTGTATGGGTGTGTGTGTTTGGTTTGTTTTGGATAGTGTAATGGCATATCAACTCCTTATGGGTTATTTAATTCCGAAATTTTATTTTCTTGCGAACATTGGTAATTTTTTCCCCAAAAATGTATTACTGGGGATTTTTTTTTTTTACTATGAAAAGCTATTGCTGGATATTTTTTTCTAAATTATTTTTATATTTTCATGTTTTGACTCTACATTGGCAGTTCCAAATTTGCCCATAGTTGCGATCCTAACAGGTGCTATCACCTTGGATTAGCAATTAAGGGGGTGGTTCCACACTCCTTCATGTTTCTGTGTAACTTTCAGTTTTAACAATTATCATTTATAATTATCATTTAGATATATGGCAGAAAACAAGGCGCCATTTTAAACTGACACCAGAAGAAAGAACCAAGCAGAGCAACAATTTTAAGAATCATACAAAAACTTTTGTTTGCAAAGGACGAAAGGTGGTTGAAAAGGCAGCAATTTTATAAACATTCAGAAATTATACGAAAGACAATTCCTAGTAAAAACAATTCTTTTTTTTTTGTTTTTCGTCATTCTTTTCTCTTTTCTTCTGTTACGTCACACGTTACGTCACATCTTGCTGTGGTGTAACTCTGGATAAAACAAGATAATCGTTGATTTTTACTGCAATAAAATTTATTTATTGAAAAAAAAAGTTTGAACAAAGTAACTATAAACAATTTTTTTCTATCTTCTGCCAGCCGCAATGATGGAGAAAGCATTACATCGAACCATCGCCAGTGAGACACTCTGCAAGAGCCACTCCGTTTCGCGAGGCTCGTCCCTTAATCGAGACGCAATCGCGCCAATCCTCCGAAGGAACGCCATCGAACGAGGGCTAATAACCCCTGAAGTCTCCACTGCCACAGGAGTAAAAAAAAAATATCTATCAGCAAGAGAAGAATATTTAACTAATTTTTTTTTTTTTTTTTATCTCTGCGTTCCGGGCGACGGACCCCGGCTCAACCACGGACCTGATCAAATTACCAGCCGAAACTGTATCCGCACAGGTCGCATCCCAAATCAACGACTGATTATTTTAAAAGGGAAAATGCTAATGCCATTCGTCCGCTTTCCATCACCACGGTCGAGGCCAACGGGTTCGATTTGGGAAGGGAACCCAGCTGCACCCAAACTTCTTCTGATGATGTCGTTTATTGCTGCATGCCGTGGAAAGTGGCCGGCACTACGACGACAGGAGAGAGGATGCAAACCAAACTCATCGATGGAGGCTCCACATCTGCATCTGTGACGCTCACATAATTTGAGTCCAAGACAGATCGCGACTCCGACCTGAGTGTACTCATCATCTAGAAGGGTACCGGTAGATGAAGAGGGTACTGCGTTGAGCCAGGCGCCACTACTCGGTTGTGAAGTAGATAGTAGACAGGGGAGGCGATGCTGATCCGGAGATAGCCTCAAATTAGTAAAATTGGCCTCGCATTTTATTTTATCCCAGCTTTTTTGTTTTGATGTGTCTAGTGAGATAGAAAGTAATTCTTGGGCCCAGACGCTGCAAGCTTGTTCGAAAGAACTACCCGAGAAACACTGAGTCGATCCACCGAGTATCTCATCAATTAATTCGTGACTGGATGAAAGTGAAGAAAGATATGCTGGAAGGGCCAAATCTACCGCTGATCGAAGGCCCAAGCCTCCGAAACTCAAAGGGAGCTTTGCCTGCCTCCACCCTGTGTCGTCGAAATTAACGTTGCAAATTAGCTCCGCGCATCTCTTAATTATGATATCTATCTCATTTAAGAAACCCTGTTCGAGGTAGCACGGGGCACTTCGGAGAGTGTATAGGAAACTAGGTTGCAAAAAGCTGTTCTTCAAGAGGAAGAGGGCTGGGTGTGCATCAATTAATTGCAATTTCTCAGTCATTCTTGTTAGAATGACATGCTTAGTATCCAAACACTGTCGAATGGCCATTGGAAAGACTGGAAATGTGTAATTCCTCCTTAGGTGTTATTTTTATATCCTCAAGGATGAGTCTGATATCCCGGATAGAACTCTCGAAATCATCTGCAGTATAATTCAAGTTTATTATCTCTGAGTTGGATGAGTTAATCTCAAGTCCAAGCAGAGATAGAGCAGGAATAACTCGTCGGAGGTCAGCAGATACGGCCTCAATGGATCCTCCCAACGTTGCATCATCAAGATACCATATATTGAAAGGAGAGGCGATGGAACGAGCTACCCCGTCAACGGCCATCGCAAATAGTCGCGGACCAAGTGGATCACCTTGGTGGATTACAGTAGCAGAAGAGATAATATTATTTGAGGTGATCAACATACTTGGATGACTATACGAAAGATGAGCCAGTTTAAATATGGAAGGAGTCCGTTGATGGCAAACTTCCAGGGCATGATTCCTTCTGATGCTATTGAAATCGTTTTTCATATCCAATTTTAATAAGATACGGGGGGAAGCAGATGATCTATTCTCCAAAAATGATCTTGTGACATGAACCGTAGCTTCACATCCTCCCTGTATGCCTACCCCGAGCTGGACAGGTCGCAATTAATGTCCTCCTTCACAACAACTCTACAAGCAATTTTTGCCGCGATTCGACGAAAAATGTTACCAACAGCGATAGGGTGGATACCTCCGTCTTTTTCTTTTTAAGCTGTTAAGTTGGCTGAAAATATTAAGTCGCGAGCATGTTGGGATATCTCAGCTCACAGAAGGGAATTAATAAGAGCTGTTATGGATGTTTTCAAATGTTCACCAGCTTCAGCAGTGTGGGCAGAAATTAAGTCCTTGATGTGACCAGGTCGAAGGCCATTCACACCTCCACTGCTGCTTCCCGAGAAAGACTTCAGAGCGGCAACCATTGCTTCCTTTGAGATTTCAATATTTGAATCATTTTTCTCCATCTGAACAAATCTGACATCTGATGGTGGCGCATGATGTTTCCGACGGAGAGCTGCGAGAACTTCTGATGTAGTAGTTAGTATAGTATCGGATGAGGCCAATACTCTAACTGCAGCTGAGACATCACCCTCGATCAACTTAGCATTGACGAGGGCACGGAGTCTCTTAAAATCGTCGACTGTAGATGAAGGATGAAATCTATTAGGATTATAAAGATTAGAAAATTCGGTGGCATTTATTTTAGACGAATTGAATAAAGAAATGTTATTTTTCATAATAGATGAAACAGATGATGTAGGGTCCTTATTGTAAGGAATGCCGAGCACAAGTGTTGCGAAAGAGAAAAAGTGATCCCAGTCAAGCGAGGTGTTCAAGTTAAGTGTCTGTTCTATGGCAGTAGCCAAGGTATCGGCTGCCGGGATTCTGACAGATTTAGGGATTTTTAAAGGCACCTTCCGGAATTGCCTAAGAAGTGAGGTTGCCCTCAAAACTTCACTGGCATCACTTTGGGTCGGTTTATTATGTTAATGAATCACACTATCTTGTAGAGCCGAGAAAGACAGACAATGTGAACAACTCCAAACAACCAGAGACGCTGACGCATTTCTAGTCAATCCCACGCAAGATAAATGAAAAGACCGTTGACAATTTGAACAAATTCTTATTTTTTTATGCTTTTTGATGCTGCCACAAGAAAAGCAACGATCACATTCCAGCAAAGAAGAAGGTAGAGACATTTTTCTTCCCTCCTTTTTCCTAAAATTAATGTAAAACTTTTTTCTGTTAATTCTTGTAATCTCCGTTTGACATTAATTTCATTTTTTCCTTTGAAATCAAATCTTCGAAAAAATACTGTCTTGAATTACAAATTCTTTACAATAATGTTTACAGTTTCCAACTATTAATTCAATAATGATTATTCCATTTACTATTCAAATTCATATTTACCTTACTTAATGCTTAATCCGACATTTTTACATTCTTAAAAATCCGTTGAAATCAGCAGAGCTTTGAAAAACACGTCTTCTCTCTTCGAATTCCAATCGTTGATTTTGGGATGCGACCCGTGCCGATACATTTTCGACCGGTAAATTGGTCAGGTCCGCAGTTGATCAGGGGGCTGTCGATAAGAACGCGGAGATTAAAAAAATAGTTAAATATTCTTCTCTTACGGACAGATTTATTTTTACTCCATTGTCAGTGGAGACTACTTGGATTATTGGCCCTCGTTCGTGCGGGATTGTGTTTCGATTAAGAGATCCATCATTATTTCCTGCCAGCCAATGGATCAATAGGTTATTCGAGTAGCCGAGCGGGTTAGCCGCACGAAATATTAATTCAACAAGATAGTTTAAGTTCCAGCTGGGACATTGTGTGTATATTTCATACAAATAAAATGTCCAACCATCTTTCTTTTATTTACGTTCCGGCCTTCTTCATCTGATATACATTGGAATTTCGAACCGAACCCTTTATTTTGTCCACTTGGGTAGATTGTTCTAGTTCCATGAGCCATGCCTTTTCTAGATATCTAAGTTTCAGTTATTTCCCTGTAGTAACTCGACTCTCCAAGATTTTTGTTAAACTCTGCTGTGGCCAGGTATTGAACTTACAATTCTTTGGCTCAAGTCACTGCATTATTTCAAGCAACATTTTTATCCACTATGCCATGTGTTGTGAGGTGAACAAAAACTTTCATAGTCAAGTTACTAAAGGAAAATAACCGAAAAGGCATGGAACAATCTACTCGAGTGAACTAAATAAAGGGTTCGGTTCGAAATTCCAACGTATATAACCTGAAGAAGGCTGAAGCTTACAACGAATGGAACGTCGTGAAAATGACAATAAAGTTGAAGTAAACAGTCCGAACAATGCAAATAGTGTAAATAGTTACAATACCTCATCTCATAAATTAATTAATGTGCCCTTTAGTCATTGTTGAAACAACTTTGATAAAACAATCGGAAAACACTGCATTATGTTTCCCAAGAACAATGATATTTTAAAGATATTAAAGAAAAGAAAGCTGTGGAGAATCATTTCCACCTAAACCCGGAATATATTAGCATTGAAAATAGGTCAATAATAATTAGCATCAGTAAAAGAAACATATTTTAAAACAATGCAGCATCTATCTCACACACTATAGGTAGGTAGGTAGGTGTTGGTAGTTGACTCAAGACTACTCTCACTACTACTGCGATATCACTTCTTGCCACTTCTGTTCGGCTGTGGGTCATAGCGCCTAAGTGGCCGACAGTTGAGTGGTAGTCAGAAGTACTCGACTTGTTGAGGCAAGTCGAAATCTTTGTGAGTGTCAGTCGAAACAAGTTATACGCTCCAAGTAATAAGAAGTAATTCGTATTCAAATACGGGAAACAAGTGGTGTTTCATCAAAGCTAAAAAACCGTTCTTTGTTGACTGCTGCACATATATAACAACTCACAACTACAAGATAAAGAGGTACTAACATTTTAATGGTAAATAAAGCACTCCTGATATTGTAATCGATAACATCAGTCTTCCTTACAATAAATTTGATAAAACTCTGCATTTCATAAGTCTCATAAATGCGTCATTATGCAAGACTTATTCATGTAATTTCAAGAAATATTTATGGCATTTCTTTTAAGACACGAAATGCTTTGACACTGTGAATTTGTGATATGCATATCTCGTATTTAGACGAATTATTTTACCACCCTGATCGTTATATGAAAAGAAGGCTATAGAATAGAACGGCCGAAATATTAATAGTAATAACATTAGCACAAAGAAACAGTTCAGTTGTCCAAGTAAAGGTTAGATTCTATTATACGTCTTCCATTATGAACAACTTTTAATATTTTCAAAAGTAAGAAAGAGTTTCAAGAAAATATTTTCACTACTAATGTGAAAAATATTTTACTAAAGATATATATATATATATATATATATATATATATATATATATATATATATATACAGGTAGGTAGGATGAGATTGGGAGAGAGAGGGAAAGAAAGAAAGAAAGAAAGAAAGAAAGAGAGATAAATTTTACAGTACTAGTTAGCATGCACGTTACACGTCTATCAAGCAATTAACTGGCGGGTCCGTTGTTCTCTTGAAACTCCGTAAATGTTCCTGAAAACTAATCTTGACTTCCTCTTAGAAAGTCTCTAATGAGCGAATTGTTTCGAACTCGTAAAAGCAAAGCTCTGCGTTGTACATAAAGTAGAATAGAGTTCACGTCACTGTGAAAATTCGTTTGTAGCTGTCTCACATTGTGGAACTTAATATATGAGCGAAGTAGTCCACCAAGGTCCATGAAAGTTTGAAATTGTCACAAAGTCTGACATCATTAGAGGAGTGACACAATGGGTATGTATTAAGAAAAAGTTTAAAATACTGGCGTTGGGTTGATCTTTCTTTCGTCTCTAGCATTTATCTATTCCACTCTCTCTTTCTTTTATTCTCTCTCTCTCTCTCTCTCTCTCGTTTTCACACACACACACAAATATATATATTAATATATACACATCAAAGAATTACTGAAGACAAATTTATCTTCGATATTAAAAGATTTTTAAAATTACTTTTTATTTTTTAATTTCGCTTTTTTTTTTCAACAATGCTTATTACAAAACTTGATTTTTCCCTCGTTTCTCTCAGAAAATAATCTAATATCAATTTCTTTTAATTATTAACTAATTAATAATTAATTATAATTACGACTTCACTGTTATTAGGTTTTATTTAGTGAAATCAGAAAGCGTGACATATAATACATATTGTTGCATGAAATCCTTGCTAGTGTTACTGACAGAAACACTAGTCACATTCTATATAACATTGAAAAGCGTTATCAACATTCCAGATTGTGTTTAGACAATTTTTAAATATTTTCTTTGGGTTTTTATGATGTTAGCACAATCTTTCATTCGATCCATTCTGTAGCTTTCGATTTAAAAAGCTTTTCTGTAAGACTAATATTTTCCATAATGCAATGGCGGAGTGCTTATGGCTTTAACGTTCCAAAAATGAGACGCAGGTTCGAATCACACCAAGGTCGAATCTTCAAGAAGGTCATTTCTAGATGATATCGGCCTGATGATATGATCCCATCGTGCGGCACTATTGAAAAATCTCTGAAAACTATACCACCTGTTTGGCCCAAGACTTGTGACTGAAGTTAGGCAAACGAAACTGTTTGAAATCCGTCAGGAGTTGTGCTAGCAGGAAGTCGCAAGTCATTGTGACCGAGGGCTTCAGTGTACTGTCATTGTTCAAACTGGTGATCATATAAGACTCTCCTGAAAACTGTAAATAAGGCCCGCTCAACATGTTTACTGTATAAACCACAGGTTTGCTTTGAGGTTGTTAAAGACATACAAATGTATCTGAGCAGCCGTCTGCATCAGGGATTAGCTAACCACCCTTGGCAGATAGGCATAATCGGAAACGACTGGTCATAGAGACTTATGAAAGTTTAGCATCCCGCTACCACTTTCTTATCAATGTTGAATTTTGTACAAATCTGTGCAAAAAGAGGATCAAAATCTTACCCAGCTTCATACAGATTTTCAGGAAATATCAGCTTCTAATTGGTCAATAAACACAATCCGCCCACGTACACATCTTTTTCCAGCGCGTGACCAAGTCAATTTTCCTGCCATTTTTCTGGGAGAATGTCACGTGATTACATTAATTATAAATAGCAGACACGAGCTTGTTCACTCTCTTTTCTCTCTTCTCTTGTCCTGCGAAAATGTAACCTTAAAGGATCCCGTCTCGACCATGTGCGGTTAGACGTTAAAAACCTATTCACGCATGCACGTACGTACGAAATTTTCCAGACTACATTACAAACATACAAAATATTTCCAAACAAGCAACAAGAACTTTTCTCTTTGAAATACTCTTCTAAAGCTACAGTTTATTCAACATTTCTCAGCTTTATAATTCATTCAACTTTTGTGAGCTCAGATAAAAATATTTCAATTTCATCAGTAAAACTTTAATTCAGTCAAAGGGAGATAACACCAACAAAATAGTAACCTCTACGCATGTACATCATTACACAAAAATAAATATAAATTTTATTGTTATAAAACAGTTTTTGTTCCTTCTTCTTGTTTCATAGTTTGTGGTATTTTGCGTTAAATAAAAATCGTGTGGTCATGTTAATAAACAGACATCTACAAATGGTCATAATATTAACATACTACTACAAAAGCGTCAAGAACAGAAAATGGTTTAATTATGCTCAAAATTTTAGACGTGTGTTCATTTTTCGTGGATAACTTTCACTACGATTGCCGTGTATTTAAATGGGAATCAACGATCAGGTTTCTTCAAGTTTCAAATATCTTGCTTGACTATCGATCACATAAAATAGTTCAGTAAAAACACAATTCATCTTATCCTAGAATGTGCTTAAAAGCATATATAACACTTGCGATTTGTAGATTTTTCGAGATTTAGTTATTGACAGGTATCAGTAGACAATCTATCATCAACAAACAATCAGAGTTTTGATCTGTTTCCGTTTTTGTATATTTAAATTAATAAATTAGATTTGATGCAATATTTTAGGTTATTAGAAATCAGTTACAATGAAGTTGAACCACAAAAATAATAGTTTGGTCACAAATGAATTCGGAACTAAATTTACAATAAGACGTTAGTGAAGCAAATCTTCCATCCTCGGTGTGGAGAGAGTTATTTTATGAACGATCAAAATACACTGTTATTCGAAATCTTTTTCTCAAATCGGAGATATGGCCTAATGGATAAGCGGCTCGAAATCAGGATCTTGTCTCCTTTGGTGGAAGAAAAAAACTTAAACTGTACATATTTCACTAAAAACCTCAAAAGATGTAGGCTCTTTACAAAAACTAATATGAAAAAAATAGTCTGGAATCGTTTTATTACTTTACATAAATGATCTACCGAAGAGTATAGTCCAATCATTTGTGAATATCTATGTTGATGATACAGTTGTATATATGGGTGCACCTTCAAAACTTGTGATGACCAGGGATTGACAGCTGACCTCTGACCGACCTGTAATAGCTCAATGGAAAAAAAAACTTGTAACATTCAATATCTCAAAAATTAAACTAGTCACGTTCCATTATCACGTAGAGGACCCAAAACGTTCACCGACCTAGATGAACGGGTCTTCTCTCGGGAAGGCTCCATGCCTTGAGTGGCTACTGGACACACTCAACGCAAATCTCAAGTGGAATTCGTACATACAATCCATCGCTAAATATGCTGGAAAAATGGTTGGTTCCATGTATTGCTCGAGTAATTATCTGACTCCTCATGCTATTCTTTACCTTTACAAGAGCCAGATCAGGCTGAAAATGGAGTACTGCTGCTATACATAGGCAGGAGCTACTCAGTCTTCACTTTCCAATCTTGATAGAGACCAAAAGCGTATATGACAAATTATTTCCCACCCTACCATCCCTTTCCTCAAAGACAAAACGTCGCAAGTCTATCGCAGCTCTATCGGTATTTCCATGGAAAGAATTCAGAAGAAATTTATTCCTTAGTTCCATCAGTTATAATCTTCAAGACGCGCCATGTCAGACACCTTGTAGCAAACCAACTTCCTCTCATTTCAAATTCCATTGGTGAGATGTAAGTTCCATTCGAGCAGCTTCTTCTCACGAACCACTGCATTATGGGAACGACTCCCAAGAGGATGCTTCCCGATCTCTACAATTTTAACTTGTTCAAATCTAGGGTCAACTGTTATCTTCCCCACATATCCCCATAAACTGTGCTTCTTATTTTGCAACACTCTACCTTGAGCAGCTCTTGGATTTTGTACAAAGTGAACAACATTGTAAAAAACAAAACTAAGCAGAAAAACTGTGATAGCCTTACGTCTTTGAGTTATGCTATGGCAGAGAGGCAGACAAAAAAACATTCAGTGAATTGTGAAGTTATTCAACTTCTTTTAAAAACTTTCTTCAAAATCATAGGTGCTATTGATTTCTATTTAGGGTCTATCATTAAATCCGCAAGCCTATGGCCAGATGACGCTGAAACACTGGTCCTCATACGATCAACGAAATTAAGCAACGTCAAGCCTGGTTTGGAAATACCAGGTCGTATAAGCTTGGATGTGCGGGTGGTGTAATGGATAATGGCTCCGTATTGTTAATCGGAAAGCCCAGTTCCAATTCGTGTTGGGTTCATTATATTCAGTTACGCGCAAATACGCTAGGGAAATCCACTCCTTCTCCCCTAACTATGGGTTAATTAATAAGATTTGTATCAGTAAACCATTATTATCTCAAAAAGAGTTTTACAATTTAAAAATAGTTTTTGGCTTTAAATAACCTACATAGGGTTGATAAACCATAGAAAATCAATCAATCAATCAAGTCCGTAGCCAGTAACGTAATTATTAAGTGCATTTTGTTCGGAAATTTCACTGTAAAATATTTAATGTATGTTATTAATACTCACCACTGAATTAAGTGCATTGACAAGAAAGGAGATTATGTTGAAAAATTTAATATTTATTGTGTAAAATAAATATTTTTCATTAGATTGCAAATTTAATGTTCCTACGTAAACCATTATTATCAAAGAGAACATAATTGAATTTTATTCGGTATGTTATAGACGAGAATTTGGTATAGTTTTCTATATGACGAAAAGATCTTTGTATGTAGCCATTAATAAATCTTTGAAAGTGACCATTAATAGATTCTGAATTAGTTTTTTTTTTCTTTTTCAACTAAGGTGTCAATTTTATGATCTACTTACTGAGTAATGTTCTTTCGTGTACCTTGTTATTGACACTCGAACCAGTAAAACCTATACAGGTAGATATTCCATCATTTAAAAGACCGACGCAACACAATCTTATTTTAGTTTCACATCAGTCATTATATTTGTATGCTTGTAAAGTTTGCAATAGCTAAATAGCATCGGTTTACCTATTCACTAGCTTTTGTTTGTCTCTCTCTGTCTCTCTCTCTATTCCCTCTCTCACTTTTGATACGTTCTTTCTCTTTTTTTTTTTTTTACTCTTGTTCATCTACTGAGATATGATATCCTTCTCCCTCGCTTTCTGTCTCTCCCTTAATATGTCTGGCTTGATTAAATTTACTTAGATTGATTTCTTAGCAATTTATTTCATTCGATACTAATCTTTCTACTGTTCATTATTGTCGATTCAGAAAATTATGGTACCCTTAATTGAATTCGCAAGCATAAGCCTCAAAGAGGATTAAGATCCTAAGTTGAAACTTTCACCAGTAACGATATAAGCAAACAATTTTTAAACGTTCTTTTATGTATCTGGGGTTAAGGTCTACATATGAATTTCTGTTTATAGACACAGAAATGTGTACATTGAAGTTTCTAAATTTAGTAGGGCTACTTTAAAAACAGTATATGTTTAACTTTTTTACGAAGCATAATCGCTGTACAAACGATGGTTATTTATAGTTATATAACCGATCGCAAAGAGAACGTGACAATACTTTCTCTGTGGGAGTTGAACCGCGGTGCACGTAATGTCCAGTTTTAAATTCCTGACCACTTGGCTATTACTCATCAGCGCTTCCCTTCTCCGTATCCACAGCCCGCCAACTTTAGTTTACAGTTGCGATGACTCAACCCTGTTACGTAATCATATGCAGGACGCTTGGTTATGTTGGCCGACTAAGAAACGGATGGGTAAAGGGTAGAAGTGGGTAGATGATGCTTTGCGCATATGAGGAACATATTAAGTGCTTTCACACGGCGATACTTTCGTTGGTTTTGGATTTATGATAACAATAAAATTTGAAAGAAAACTGTTTCCTTTATTTTGGGTCGAATGAGGAATTAAATTTAAAGAAAAACAAGTACTTCAGGAAATTATTTGTTTTCTGAAATCTATCTATCTATCTATCTATCTATCTATCTATCTATCTATCTATCTCAGCTTCTTCATTATCTATCTATCTATCTTATTTCGTTCACATCTATCTGTCTATTTATATATATCTAATTGTGTGGACATCTAATTTAATCTTGTTATCTCTCTTCTCTTCTCTCTCTCTATCTCTCTCTCTCTCTCTCTCTCTCTCTCTCTATATATATATATATATATATATATATATATATATATATATATATATATATATATATATATAACGTCCTAGTAGACGGGCATTCTCGAAGACAACTAGACAGTCATTATTATTATTATTATTATTATTATATTTTTGTTGTTGTTTTGTTGTTTTGATTGTTTGTTTGTTTGCATAGCCCAAGTAGTTAGAACGTTTACTTTCTGATCATGAGGCCTGGGTTCGAATCTCACCATGGTCGATTTGTCAGGAAGGTGACTTCTCGATGTTATCACTCTCGAGGTGGCACCTTTGGAAAATGCCTGAAGACCGTACCATGTATTGATCCAAGCCTTGTGAGTGAAATTGGGTGGACGGAACCCTTGAGGGTCGTCAATGGATGTGCTAGCTGAGCGTTTGAGTGTGCAGACCTTGTTCAAACTATTGATCATGCTAGATAACGCACACTCCCCCAGAAACTGTAACTAAGGTCTGCTCAGCATAGATGCAGTATAAACCACAGATGGGCTTTGTGGGTGTCGGACAAACACAAAATGCCCCTGAGCACAGCCGCGCCCTAGTAGACGGTAATCCCATAATACGAGTGGCCATTATTATTATTATTATTATTATTATTATAATTACTATTATTATTATATAATTTTTTCGCATCTAATTTTTCTGATCTATCGATCTCTTTATCTATCTGTCTGTCCGCCTTATTTTATTTACATCTCTCTCTCTCTCTCTCTCTCTCTCTCTCTCTCTCTCTCTCTCTCTATCTATCTATCTATCTATTTCTATGGTCGTTTGTCCGTCCGGCTTTTTATAAAAAAAAATATCTTTATCTATCAAATCATGATTGTTTTTCTCCCTCCTTGTTTTTATTTTAAGTTTGTTTATCTTTCTATCCCTCTGTCGATTTGA